AATCCACTATCGACAATTTAAGTTTCCATCAGAGAGTGCAAAACCCGATATTCACATTGTTTGACAAAAAGGTCGATCCTATCACTATGATCATCCACTAAAGTAATTTACCAAACTACCCCAACATGCCCAAATATTTTTGATCCATGATGGATCTTACTGGTTGGCACATAAAAGACAGTCTAGTCCACTACTTAGTGCAATATCATAATCAAGTCTAGAGTTATGCATAACTTTCTAGTTTTGCCCATGTATATCCAAGGTCCAGGGCATAATTGGAAATTGGTCTAGGTTCAGTATGCCTTCCAAACACCTACTACTTGTGCTTAAGGTCTAACCCTAGCAGTTGAGACAAGCTGCTCCAACTATTTGGTAGCACACCAGTGTCAGCCTTGTTAGGATAAACTCTCAAAGTTTATCCAATGACTATGAACATTCTAAACTAATACGAGTCTCATAAGTGTCTAGTTTAAGGAGTAATTCACAGAAAAATACCATCATTCACATGAAATAATAATGTACTTTATTCATTTATAGATAAATGTTTATGTTCATCAATCTAATTGGAGCTAAGGGCATACATTTTCTAATAGTTCCCACTTGCACTTAGGTTCAATCGGGTATTAGCCTTAGTCACATACTGTCTATGTGTCTTTCAAACACTTTTTGTGTTAGCGGCTTAGTTAATGGGTCTGCCACATTTTCTATTGATGCTACCTTCTGAATCTAGATGTTTCCTCTACCAGCAATCTTTCAAGTAAATGATACTTCCTCTCAATGTGCTTTGACTTCGAATGGGCTCTTGGCTCCTTAGTTTGAGTAATGGCTCCAATGTTGTCATTAAATAATGGTACGACTCCTAATTCTTGGACAAATTTCTTCATCTATACTTTTTCCTTGGCAGCCTCACTTGTGGTAATATACTTGGCCTCAGTCATGAAGTCTACTATAAATCCTTGTTTGCTTCTTCTCCAATTGATTACATAGGATCCCAATATAATGATGTATCCGAATGTAGACTTTCTATCATTTGGATTAGACTGAAATTCGACATCTGTATACCCAACCATCTGTAGTGAACTACCATCGAAGACAAGACGATAGTCTTTAGTTCTTTGTAGGTATTTTAATATGTTCTTCAGAGCACTCCAGTGCTCTTATCCTAGGTTGGATTGATATCTACCCACAACACTTACCACCTGAACAATGTTAGGCAAAGTGCACAACATAGCATACATGATGCTCCCTACAAAAGAGGCATAGGGAACTTTTCTCATGACCTCTATCTCCTAAAGGTTCTTTGTTGACATTCCTTTGGAGAGAGTGATTCCATGTCTTAAAGGAATGAATCCCTTCTTGGAATCCTACATGTTGAATCTTTTGACAATCTTGTCAATATAAGTATATTGGGACAATCCAATTATCCTCTTTGATCTATCTTTATAGAGTCGAAGTACCAAGATGTAGAAAGCTTTTCCAAGATCTTTCATTGAGAATTATTGCAAAAGGCATACCTTTACTATCGTTAACATTCCTACATCATTCCCAATGAGCAGAATATTGTCTACATATAGAACTAAGAATGCAAACTTGTCTCCCACTATCCTTCTATAAATACAAGGTTCATCCGGATTTTGCTCAAAATCAAATTGTTTAACTATTGAGTCAAATCGGATGTTCCATCTTTTATAAACTTGCTTTAACCCATATATGGATCTGTTAAGCTTACACACCATGTGTTCCTAATCCTTGACAACAAAACCTTTCAGCTGTTGCATATAGATATCTTCAATAAGATCTACATTCAAGAATGTACTCTTGACATCCATTTGTCAGATTTCATAATCGTAGTGTGTAGCTATAGCTAACAATATCCTAATGTATTTAAGCATGGTCACAAGTGAGAAGGTTTCCTCATAGTCGACTCCTTTCTGAATGTAACATTTTGATACAAGCCAAGCTTTATAGGTCTTAACCATTCCATCAGGGCCATTCTTCCTCTTATAAATCCATTATCAACCAATTGCTTTCACCCCAGGGGGTGGGTCTACGAGAGTCCAAACTCCGTTAGTTTTCACTGAGTCCATCTTGATTTGCATGGCATCTACCATCTTTAAGGAGTCTATGTCTAACATAGCTTTCATATAAGTCACATGATTTTCCTTGCTATCTATGGCTTCCATTAAGTAATTTTCTTAATCATAACCAGAAAATATAGAGAGTTTAGATACCTGAGCAGATCTTCTACGATGGGAATTTATATTTGGAACTTGTGGACTATCTCCCAGTACCCCTGAGTCCTCATCATCAAGAATAACTTCTTGATGAAGATTGTTCAGAATATAGTCATCTTCTAAGAAATGGACATTTCGACTAACAAAGACCTTTTGTTTTCATGGGTCATAGAAGAGATACCCAATAGAGTCTTTGGATAGCCTACAAATAGGCAACGACTGGTTTTGGATTCCAATTTGTTTGCACTTGTCTTTTTGACGTGTGTTGGACAACCCCATATTTTTAAGTGCCTTACACTTGGTTTCTTGCCAATCCAAAGCTCATATGGAGTCTTAGGAATTGACTTGGTAGGAACCCGATTCAACATGTAAATCGCAATCTCTAATGTATGTCCCCAAAAGGATATGGGTAACTTTGAGTGGATGTGAGCATCGGGAAACGGCTCACTTGGGCTAGGAGTGGTGTCGCCACCCATCCATTATGGAAATGGAGGTGATGAGACCTCTAGGATTTATGTCAAAAAGCATTTTGGTCCATTAGTGACTCCAAAACCCAAGGCACTAGCCAAACAATTCCGGGTAAGACTCAGATGGGAGAGGGAAGGGGTTAGGCACCCCTATCCCAGGTCCATTAGGTGGGGCCCACATGGGAACCCGAACAAGTACAAATACAAATGAACAATTATTCAATTGACTATAGGAATAACAAAGCAAAACTAGACATCACAAGAGAATCCTCACAATTACCCTTTTATTATTTTTCATTTTTATTTAAAAAAACTTTTTATTGATTTATTGATTGATTGATTTATTTGTTTTTTTTTTTGAATTTCATTTTACCAATTATTTTGTGTTATTTCCTTATGGGTCCCCAATTGTTTATTTACCTTATGGAATTATATATTTTTTATTTTTTATACTTTATATTTCATCATTATTCTTTTATATTTTCCTTTTTTATTTTAATATTTTATACTACATTATTTATTCATCTTTGCATATCAGATCTATTAAGCCAAACACCTAAATTGTTTAGACCCGCTATTATGAATTTACATTTTTCTTTTTTTTTTATATTTCTATTTTGTTTATTTTTTTTTAATTTTTTGTTCTCTTGTATGCGAATTTGTGCTTAACTAACCTTTCCTACCCTTTTGTTTTAATTGATTTTTTCTTTTTTTTTTTTGTTTCTCTCTTTTTTCTCCTATCATGTTTTATTTTATATTTTTTATTACCCACAAAGTGCTTGACACACGTGTCCTATCCTAGACTAAGGTAATTTCTCCTACTTTATTCTAGAGCTAAAATTGGATTCTAAGTGAAAATGCATGGATTGACACGGTTTGTTTCTAGACACAAGGATTCAACAAGGTATTTATCCTTTAAACCTCCACCAACCGAATAGGCAGGCTTCTCAAGTTGGTGGCTGGTTTGTGGGTGGTCGATGCTATCCAAATGGTTAAAATAAGTATTAATTAATTAATTACTTATTAATAACATGTATTTAATAATTAATTATATAAATACTTATTTTAATTAATTAAAAAATAATTAATAATTACTTGTCTATATTTTATAACTATCATACTATTAATAATCCTATTAATAATTTTTTATGAAATTAAATTATAAACATTACACTATTAGTTGTTAGTCATATTTGATTTATTATTTATTTATTTTCTTTTTTTCTAATAATTATTAATTTATTTAAATAATTAAATTATTTTTTTTATGTTTAATTTTAATTAATAAAATATTAGTTATTAATTATTTATTTCTATTTTAGAAATTATTATGTTTTTGTTAATGTACTTATGAAATTGTTAATAACTTATTTTCTAGTTTAATTATTATTAAATAGAAATCACATTAACTATTATCGTTATTCAATATTAATGAGCTAATAATTTGTTAATTATTAATTATATTTATTTACTTTAATAAATTCATAATTATTAATTTATTGTAAATAGTAATAAATAAATAAATAATACATATTTTTAATTATCATTATATGATTATTATTTATTAAATTTCAATGCATTACAATAAATAGCTAGGAATAAAATGACTGTAGCTAAAGACGATTAACTTTGAAGTTATAACCACGTATAACTAAAATTCCGTGGCTATAGTGAAAAATAGCTTTTACCCATGGACAAAGAGCTCTTTAGGCATGGATGAAACGACTGTAGCTATAAGTCAATATCTACTTTTGCAACTTGTAGCAATGGATACCTTACAACTGTGGTTATAAATATCTTTTAGCTGCAGACAAATAATTTTTAACCACAGACTAACTGTCTGTAGCTAAAACTCAATTTTTTGCCATGAATATGACGTTTTCATAGCTATATATCTCTTGTTTTAGCTATGGTTTCTACGACCATAACTAAAGTGCAATTGCTAAAACTCCATTTTCTTGTAGTGACCTATTCCATTTTGATACTTATTTTCTCATCATAATTAATATGGTTGTAATATTATCATGTGTTAATTTAAAAAGTAGTAAGTTTACTCTACATTGATGAAACCAACCTAAACCATTGACTTACATGAAGTGAAAATCCTTAATTAAAAGCGTGGATTTTTGAATAATGATTAATTAATCTGATTATCACCAATAAAGTTACCATCGAAATAACTGGCTTATGGCAGCCATATGTGTTCATAGTAACGTCTTATCGTTCAATGTTGGTTCTTCGTAAGAAGAATCATCACGCAATTGGGACAACAAAATTGTTGATATATATCTATTTGGAATTATATTACACTATCTTGAATGTTGATTGGGATCCTCACAGAGCTTCGTCGTAGCCATAGGTCATACATGACCATATGAAAAGCATCGTAATCAACTGGAGAAGAATGCCATTTGAAATGTCGTCGCACCTTCAGCACATTCCTCTTCAATGTTGAGTACTGGTCTAAGCTCACTCCATGAAGGATTTTCTTCAGCAAAGAGATGTCTAAGGATGGAACAACAAGAGAGAAACTCTTCCAGTTCAATATGTCTGCAAAGGGTAGATCATAGTGGTCGGCGATAATCAATGGAACACAACCATAGAACATGGCATCCCCGATTCGCGCAGTGTTTACTTCAAAGCCCTTGAGATGGAGGCAGAACTTGCTTACAAGTAGTGCATCAGAGTATGGCGTCGTGAGGCGACCAGAGTTCACAAAGATCTCTGAGTCATTTCTCCATGTTTTGACGACGTCCATGCGTATCCATGAATTCATTGCTCCAGCAAAAAAGGCTAGCTTTTCCCTGAAAGTCATTTCTCAAACAGATGGAAGGCACGAGTGTGAGGTTGTAGTAATTGCTAAAGAAAGCTAGGATATTTATTTATATGCTTTTCTCATTTGCACTTTCATACATTTAAATAAAATCGCATTGCAAACAAATGGGCCATGTATTTTAGGCTGTATGGTTCGCAGGAATAGGGGTCTGGAATCCGAATCGGAATGTCCAACTGTCTGGCTGGGCAGAATTGGAATCCCATTCTCATTCCTGGTAGAATGGCATTCCCCTATTTGATGTAAATGAAATGGTCATTCTCTCTCCCTCCCTTGAGAATGAAATCCCATTCCAGTTAGGGTCTATTTGGTTCGCAGTTGGAATTGGAATCAGATCCTTCGGAATTGGAACCAAAATGGTCTATTCTCATAATCTGTTTGGTTATAGGAATGGGAATGAAAATTGAAATCAGCACGAATGGGATTTCATTCCCAAGAGAGGGGCAGGGAATGGTCATTCCCTCAAATGGGGGAATGCCATTCCAGCAAGAATGAAAATGGGATTCCGATTCCACCCAACCAAACAGTTGGAATAGGAATAGCCCATTCCGATTCCGATTCCAGACCCATATTTCTATGAACCAAATGGGGCCTTAGTTTTAATTTCGATTCTGAATGATTTCAATTCCAATTCCAATTCTGATTCCAACTATGAACCAAACAGACCCTTAAAAAATATGGGTCAAAAACCCCCAACCCTGGTGACAATGGGATGTAATCCCAACTCTCCACTACAACCAATCAGAGACCATACCAACTTAGCCATCATGTCACTCAGCAGACACTGGATATGCTGCAAACACAAGTATGTGAATCAGAATGTGTTACCAATTATGAGTAAACATGCCAGTGTTTGTAATTGTAATTGGTTACTTAGCCTAATTAATGCATTTGTATTTGTAGTAGATCCCTAGAACACATGGCATCCCCATCACTTTGAGAAGTCACGTAGAATTGCAGGCTCTTCATGTAGTATGCCAATGGACCCTAGCATATACCCTATCACCATTAACCCACAAATTGGTTCTAGTGTATGGCACCTTACCCCCCTGTGAGGGCCAAATCTCCGCATAACATGTACAAGAAAAAAACAAAAACTAGGCCAACATATAGAATTGCAAATAGGAATTAAATCAACTATACCCAAGGAAATGGAAATTGAAAGAAGTGGATTACCTCTTTGATGAAGAAAGTGTGGGGGGATCACCTTTTCTTGGCCATATTTGTGGCACTGATGCATCCTTGTGAGCAACATAAGCAGTTAAAAAATAGCTTGAAGAACATACAACCTGAATAGAACTGAGCTTCACTTGTTCTGCTTTCCTTGTTGCTGTGCTTCCAATGGAATGACAAGCAACATAGAAATGGTCAGCCCCTCCACTCCGGTTCCAGTAGGGATAAGTATGGCTGATGTTATGGAAGTATGCTTGAACAAAGGCCGGAATTCCGCCGACACCCACTCGCCGGTCATGTCGCAATGCTGCAATGGAGAAAGGCATGTAGAAGAGATCTGCCTCTGAAGGGTCCTTGGTGATGAAGTGGCTCTTCATAAGAGCCTTCTTGAAGTAAGCTTCACTGGCATAATTCCCTCCTGGTTCATAATTCACCGGCACTAGTGTGTTTGCAAAGGGATCATCCTTCCTGTGTGGATACACATATATCTTAAAGCTTCTATTCATCTCTTTATAGTCCTCCAAAAATATTTCTTTGTCATGGAAAACTTCTTCGTTCACATTATTTCCTGATCCATAACAACCAAGAGTTTTCAGTTAGTCGTTTTTTTTTTTTTTTTTGGTGCTTTTGCTTTGTGGTTCAAGTGGTTAAAGACTAGACCACATTATGCAGGGCCAAGCTAGGCCTGGATTTTTATGGCCTGACTTAACCTAGCTGACACCATGGATAAAATTTAACCCATCTGGCCGCGTTATATCAAAGCCCAGTAAGGCCCAATTCAGTACCATTTTGGATCTTCTGCAATGCAGACTTGGCCAATCCCAAATATTAGAATGATGGATACTCGGGTCCGACCACAGCCCGAAAGTTATACAAACAGGCCAAAATGAGGTTAGTTAGGCCAAACCAAGACAAAATTACTATTAAATGTTTGCAGTGATTAGGGAGATTAGGCCAAAATGTTTGCAAATTAAGCCTAGGTATGTAAATATGTAGAGTGTAAAACTTTGTAATTTGGGAAGAATATAAATACAAATATATATAGTACAAATATATACAAAATAATATAAAATATAAAGTTTTGCACTCTACATATTTATATATATACTCCTTCCAAACTGAGCGTAGGATCAATTTGCAAAGATTATAAATACAAATACAATTACATTTTACATATGTGTATTAGTAATCCTTTCAAACTGAGACTTGGAGGAAGACAATGTGCCAAAACAATAAATTTCTTGAGTGGTCAATAACTGCACCTGAATACACCCGACCCAATAACTAGGAAATGATAGGAAAAGAGAAGCGAAACAAAAGAACAATGGCAGGAAGGAAAGTTTTAATTAAATGTGTGAAATTGAACAAATCGGAGTAGAATGAGATGACACTTTTTGTGACCACCGTTCTGAGTAATCCGGATCTATTCTTCACATCAATATCACAGTATGTCCTGGCCATACATCAGGAATATCTCCCACCTATTATCTATATATTAAAGGAAGGTCATCAGGCTAAAGCTTCTTCCATTCAGACACCTGGCCATACAATATCGTAGCTCAACGGGTGCTCCCACTCTTGAAAAAAAAAAATAGGAGCGGTTACATTTTCAAATACAATGAGTCAATGAATTGATTTAATCCTCAAATCAATAAAAATCTAAAAATGGGCACCAATATTAAAAACTGCCTAAACATCAATTTATTCGGCAATTCAAATGGAACACCCTCTAGCAATGTAGGGGCATTAGTTAAGACTTAAGAGATAAAGACACATTTTTCTATTTTCAAAAAAAAAAAAAGACACGTTTTTCCCACACCAATTAAAGACAAAGTTATGACCCACTAAAATTGAAAGAGACTATAAACCCCCGTCTTCTTCTAATGGAATTATATTCATTTTGAATTGTTTTTCTATTATCCTCTTCTTCTTCTTCTTCTCTGATATTTAAACCGTTCTACTTCTTATCTGATCTTTATTCTGTATGATATTCACATCTTTCTCCAACTCAGTTCATACAACTAGCATTTAATCTAAGCAATTTAGACGGGAGGTTCTATCATGAAGATACATGTTATTGAGGTTAATCTTTATAAATCTTACTGAATTTTACATTCCCGAACCATCCACACCGGTATCATTAGAACATAACTGGTAGGAAGCGATGCACAAGTGAAGGGAGAAGAGGAAAAGACGACAGTGTTGCAGCTAGATAGAGATGTAATGGTACATGAACAGAATATCTATCTTAATCAGCATTATCGTCTCCACAATCAGTGTCCCCGACTACCGTCGAAGGTGGAAGAGAACCAACGCCTCGCTCGGATCTGCTTCTGACAATCATGAGAGGAGGTAATGGATGGTTTTTCTATGATGGGTGGGAGAGCCAAGACCAGAAAATCGAAAGAGATTTTTTCATGTAATCCAGTGAGGTAGGCTTCTAAAATATTTTTTCCCCAAAAATGTTCCTTTTTAGTAATTTTTTTTTTCTTTTCAAAACTGGATTAGTTGGGAATTGGGGTCACTGAAACTTGGAGGAGAAGCTTGAGGCATATCTGAAGACATTGTCTTTAGAATGTATTTGCTTCGACTCAATTCCACTGAATTTGCTGTTGAGTTACAGGCAAATCCATTCTCATGATACAACAGAGCCTTGGCAAGAGTCTGCAACCAACAAAGTTGAAGATTCTTTGAATAAACCTTCTGTGAGACAGTAGCAGATTGAACAGAGAGAGACAAGAGTAATTTTCGAAAAGCTTGTGTGTGCATTTGCTTGATTCACGCTCTATAAATAATTTCTGAAGAGTCATGGAGTAGAGGAAGGTGCTGATTCAGAAAATGTTCCTTGAACAGTCAAAATTTCAAACATTGTGACTGTTAAAAAGGTAATTAACAGTTAATGATTGTTAACTTTGAATAGTGCCTCTTGATCACACTTGATCGAATCTTGATCGTCGAAACTAGGGGTGGCCACAAGCCTTGCTCTTCACGAGCTACTTGAGCTTGGCTAGTGAAAAGCTCAGTTCGGCTCGGTTTCAACCAAGCTTCGAGCCGAGCTCGAGCCCAATTTATAGGCTCGTTTATTAATTGAGCCGAGCTCAAACCTAATAAAGCTA